GGCATAAATACTTGAAAGAGCAACCTTCATAAACCCTAAAAATAACAAAATCTTGAAATCGCCAAAATGGTCGATTCGCCGGTACATGTATGTCAGCTCTGCGACGAATTGTAGGATAGGATGATATTGGAATTTAAAATACACACTAGTGATTATATATAAATACATAACATACATGTACATGTACATTTATGCCTATAGATACGTGTATAATAATTTTTTTAATGAGTTCATGTGCGTGACATATATTCCGGCATTTACAGGCATCTGTCAGTGACAGAGCATCAACTTGCCTCCATGGTCAATTACACCTGAAATTTAATTCATCTCTGCCAGCCATGCTGATGCATTCCTCAGACTTCCACCACACAGCTGAATGTGGCAGGTTTTGCCCCCTCTGCCACGCTTCCAGCGAACGAAATGTTTGGCATACTGTAGTACCTAATGTTAGGCATTTTTGTCAAATCCTGGCAATCGACACCTTGTCAGAACACATGTAACCTCAATGAATGGAAGGGTGTGTAGAACTTGATGTGCTGTCCGTATCCTGAAACAAAGTTTATGCTTTTTATTAAAAATTCAAACATTTGAAAGCTGAATGAAGAAAATTGACTGGAACGGGGTGTGAAGTTCAACCTGCAACTCTGGTGCTCTACTAACTGAGCTATCCAGCCCTACATGAACATTGTATTTTGACGGCTCCCCAATGTCCTTGTTCAAGGAGGCTAGTTAGAAGCCGTAAGGCCATGTAGCCAGGGATCACGCCCAAAGTCACGATACTAGCAACGGCAGCAATGCTGCAAACCCAGGAAATAGCAAACAGTGGTCACTCAGAGGATGTGGTTTTTTATTACAGACTTTAAATTTGCTTGTCTGGGTCCCATTTGCCAAGTATAAATAGTGCTTCCTTATAAAATTTATGTTTGAAGTAGACTTGTGCAGTATTGGATTTTGAGAGTCCATCATCACAACAATAAACGAGGTATTCGGTACAACCCTTTTCTGGACAGTATTACGTCATCAAAGGAGAATAAGTGATAAGGAAATCACAAACACGTGGCAAAGGTCCATCCAACAAAGGCTCTGCTGGATGGCTAGTAAGCGAAAGTATCAGGAGATAGCATGATCACTAAGACTTAAAGCAATTATCCAAATATTTCAGATCTGCCCACTTGAGATGTTTTATGGTTTTTTCTTTTCTTTTGAAGGGCTTTTGCACACATCCGTCCACATTTTAGAGAGAATACTGTGGTTTCTGTGGTATTGAAATCCATACCAACTTTTTCGGTATCGCGGTATACATTTTTAAAACATCATTCGGTATTGGTCGTTATTAAAAATTATACGATGTTATTGAAATACCGTCCAAGCCTAGTTTGAAGCAAAAATTTACTTACGAAGCAGCCACAAGTGGCACGACATTTTAAGCTGGTACCAGTTGTGGGTTAGCAAGTACAATATATTTTCTGCATGCCAGGCAACGTTCTGTGCTTAGTAGCTCAGGGAAATTGAGCTTGGGCTCAATTTCGTGGACCTACTCAATCAAGAGAAATCATGAAAGCAAAAAATCCTGGACATTGTTGTTTATAACCCTAACCCCTTGAGCACTTTTACTAGAAAGTATCCTGAATCCGCCAAAATCCACCGATTATGTCATGCACAAAAAATTTGATGTTGGTGACTGCTCAGTGTGGAGGTATCCTGAATCCATCAAAATCCTTCAGTACCGCTCGGCTTACAATCCTGAATCCATCAAAATCCCCCTGTTTTCAATATGGAGGTATCCTGAATCCATTGCAATACTCCAAAACAGGGGTATGGTTTAATTGGATTCAGGTACATTAGGCTTAAAAAATGGATCTATAGGGAACGGAATGTGTACACTCTTGTTTGCTGGTTTATGGATGTTGGGAAAGCTTTCGTTTGCTTAGAATAACCGGGTACCAGGAACTCTTGGCCAGAGACTGTGTGCCTACCGGAGATTATGGACAGAACAAACTTCCACTTTTTAAAAAAATTGTAATATCATGTCTTAAATATTCTGGACTCAAACTGTCTAACGTCAAATGTTATTGAAGTTATTTAAAAGTTGAACAAAGATGTGACTGGAGTAGGATTTGAACCTGTGAGCTCCGCATTGCCATTCCAATGGTCTACATGTACCAACTGAGCTATCCAGCCCGATGTTGGTGGTTTCCTATTTTGTCGATAATGTCTTAGTTCAAGGGGCACTAGTTAGAAACGCAGAGTGTTTCAAATTGTTTGCCTTCCGGTCATGGAATTCAGTGTGGTCTTTGAAACCAAACTTTATCAATGCAGAGTGTGCCGACATGGTTGCGATTGATCAACTCGATGTGGTATACCCACGCATAGCGCATGTGGTACAATTCCTTTGTACCCAATTACCGCAAGGGAGTTTGCGTTACCAGAAATTCGGTGACCGAGTTCTTTGAGTCAAGACTTTGAAATGATTGAGACCTGCGAAAATCAGTCTTGAGACCAATCTCGAAACCGAGACCTGCCTTTAAGACCTACATCCCTGGCTTCTGACCAGGAATTTGCTGATTCCATGGCAACTCCTCCATGGTTCATAGGGGCAAGTTGGTTATTCCTGAAGTAAGTGCATGTACATTGTAGCATTCTTTAGTTTCTTCTTCCTTCGCCAAAAGAAGTATCCTTTTCCTCTATCGCAGGAAATCTTCCAAAAACATGTTTAGCGCCCCCACCCGCTTCCTTTTTGGAGGCCGCCTCTTTTTCTTTTTGGTACATGTAATTGAAAAAAAAAACCCAGAACAAATGATAAATTTTAAACAGTGACATCACTTTGGCCTCTTTGTCTGTTGCATCTAGCCCATACATGTATAAAGCTGGTATGTCATTTCCTGAGTCCAAGTGGCGGCCATTTTAAAAAAGTTGATAGCCATCTTGAAAAATAGCCCAGCCGGTCGTTTTGGAAAACGGGTCGGGTGGCCATTTGTTTGGGGGGGGGGGGGGGGGGGAAGGGGGCCGCCTCCTTCCTTTTTTTCATAAAGGCAGGGAGCTAAATCTGTTTTTTTTTCTTATTTAGCCTAAAACCTATGTGGTTTATTTGAAAATTTGTTAAAGGATTGTTCTATACATGTGTACAACATGGTGTATGTCACATAAAACTCTCACATTATTTGAGTCACAGAACCTTGCTAATACTGAGAAAGTCGTTGTGGATAAAATTCATATGTACGATGTACATGTGTGTCATGATACTCCAAGATACAGTGTGTACATCATACATGTACGTGCAAATATGATCACATCAACCATTTTTAAATGTCACTGTGTTGCCCTTTAATATTTTAAGATCCAGACGGCATTTGGTTGTCAGACATAACATACAGACGGCAATTATAAACAAGACAGTGGACTGGCATTTGATACATGTACATAAATACATGTGCACATCCATAAGCTTAATGCCTGCAGAGTACTTTTGTAATTATATTTTTAATAGGAAGCTAAATTGATAGTCTATAGTGTAATCCGGCAAACAAAATTAGAAGCCATTTTTGAGGTAGTGGCATCTGGTGTTATTTTGTTCACTTTTCTAACCCTACATGTACCTGTAACTCCCCAGGCATTTTTGCTAGGATGCAACCTCAATCCTGCAAAATCCTCCAACTGCCTCCATGTAAAAAAAATTGCACACAGCCTCAAGCTCAATCCTCCAAAATCCTCTGTAATTTCTTGAATGTGGTCCTTGGAGGGGTGACCACTGCCTCAATCCTGCGAAATCCACCAGCAATCACTCTCCGCATGTTGAGGCAGAGCTAGTGTCATCCTGGAGCAGTGCAGAGGATTCCAAGTACAATCTAGGCCTACAATGTAAATTTATGCACGGCTTAGCATAAGCAACACAAGGTCCGGCCAAAGACCTTGAAACAGTGCATCCTCCAAAATCAGCCGCACGTTTTTGTCAAATACATGTAGCCTCAATATAGCGTGCGAAATCCTCCATTTTACAAAGACACTGTTGACATGTTTTCTTTCTGTGAATCCAAACTCTACAACGATTGTGTAATATGTACACTTTCTTTCTTTTTCTGTGTAAAGTTTTGTATGTTTGCGAACTGTATGACTTTCTAATGCCCCTGTACGTACCTGTAGATGGCAAAAGTAAAAGATTGCACGTGTTCATATGATTATGTTTTGAACATAGTAGGCCTACACTTCTTTTAAATTTTTTATCTAAGGCCACTATACATTTGTACATGTACATGTGTGCTATACTGTTGGAGGCGTTTATTTCCTGAACTTATGAAAATTGCATTGACAAGTGACTTGTACAACGTGCATTTCACAGACAGTGTATTGTGCAGTAGTTGAATATAAAAGAACTCGGACTACTATTTTTGTTATGCATTGTGACTAGTGCAACAATATCATCCCAACTGAGTGCACACCGATTGTATGTGAATACATGTACATACACTGTACATGTATGTACCGTATTTACCATACCGTGTACAGCGTACATGTACTCGTGCAATTGTGCTCTTGGCATAACATTTGCACGCCTCTATGATCAAATACAATGACCTTTCAACCGTTGCAGAATTGATCCAAAATATGCCTGGATAGTGTACATTTATGATGGATCCATTCTGTCACAAGGCATCAGCTAGCCCCATGTTACCAGTACTTGTATACGGTACATGTATTTGTTGTACAATTTACGCTCCAGTGCACAAACCCCGAGTATTGAAACATTATGAGGTTTTAGCAAGAAATATCGTACAAAGACTGTTGGAAGTACTCATGCGAATCAGTATTTGTGGCGTTTGACTGTATATATATCAGAAGTTGGCTGGAAATTTTCACCTTTTGCAAAACCGGGATTTTCTGCAAAAACAATCCCGGAGCAAAGTGGTTAAAATGCAAGAGTGTCTGGAATTGTGTAAATCCTCTCAGTAAACACTAAATTTCCTTAACATGCTCTTTGTTTTCTCATTCTTTTCATTATTCAGGCGGACTCTGTAAAGTACTTTCTGGACGAGCTGGATCGGATTGGGAAGAAGGTACATAAATTACTAATCATTCAATAACTGGGGCCAATTTATTGCATTACATAAAAAAAATTCAAAATTATCAGGAAGAAATACATGTTCGGCCATTTTTAGGTGGTATCCACACAGTTAATTAAGTAAAGTCCCCACAACCATTCATCACTCTATTCAAGTGACAAACGTTAATTTTTCTGTCATCGTCATTGCCTCTTCACTTGTGACCTGATTTGAGATTTGACGTGTAATTGACTTGCAATTGACTTGATGACATTTCTAAAAAATAATGTTGTAGAAAAATGTACAGATCTCATTCTAAATTGATATGTAATGAAAAGCTGTAGCTGAGTGATGCCCGTTTGCTATTTCCTAGGTTGCAGGGCAGCTACTGTTGTTAGTATCATGACTTTGGGCGTGATCCCTGGCTACATGGCATATACAGGTTTATGGCTTCTGACTTGCACCCCTTGAACGAAGACATTGACAAAATGGGGAACCGCCAACACAGGGCTGGATAGCTCAGTTGGTAGAGCACCGAAACGGCAATCCGGAGGTCGCAGGTTCAAGCCCCGCTCCAGTCAATTTCTTGTTCAACAGTGACAAATTGTTGATCTCAATTTTTGGTTTTATGGTCTTTCCAATCTGGTAGGATTACTTGCCCACCACGCAAGACATCCTGTACGCCCGCAAGGCCACCAAGGGCATCGTGGAGCACGTCATCGACATCAAGAACGTCCCCTTCCGGTTCGTGGACGTCGGCGGCCAGCGCTCGCAGCGGCAGAAGTGGTTCCAGTGCTTCGAGGGCGTGACCTCAATCTTGTTCCTGGTCTCCTCCAGCGAGTTTGACCAGGTGCTCATGGAGGATCGCATCACCAACCGGCTGGTGGAGTCCTGCAACATCTTCGAGACCATCGTCAACCACAAGTACTTCTGCAAGGTCTCCATCATCCTCTTCCTGAACAAGACGGACCTTCTCGAGGAGAAGATCAAGGTGGTCAACCTGAAGGACTATTTTGCTGCCTACGAGGGCGAGTCCGACGACCTCAAGCAGGTGCAGGCCTTCATCTTGCTCATGTTTGACATGCGGCGCCGGGAACGCACTAAAACGCTCTTCCACCACTTCACCACCGCCGTAGACACGAACAACATTCGGTACGTATTCTACGCGGTCCGGGACATTATTCTCAAGCAGAATCTAGAAGGCCTTATGCTGCAGTAGCTTGTGGTTTTTGTTCCAAGTTGAGTGAGTCTCTTGCCTTCTCCAAGACGGTCGCCTGTGGCCTTGGAAATATGAAGTTTCTTAATTCGAGGATCCAGCGAGTGGTAACTCTTCAATTTTTAAAAAATTTTTTTAATCTTCCGTGGATAAACCCTAATGTCGCGTTCAGTTCAAGCTTGAACCTTATCCTACAGTTCAGTGTACAAGTTGATCTTTACTTTACCTTTCACACGAGTGTGTTTTCAGGTCGAAAGAAAACCCCTAGGATTAACATCTTTACTGGGACCCCTTAGAGCAAGTTCAGTTGAGGACCGGTGGTCTAATCGTTGTGGATTCATGATTTTAACTTACGCCTGCACACTCACAGCAACGCGCAATTGATGGTCAAAACGTAAAATGTTACAAAACGTCTTGGTTCCGGCTACCGGTACGTGTTGTGCATTATCACTAACCCCGATCGGGTGTTCCTCAGGTACTCTGCTAAATAGAACAAAATCCATCTCAACTCAAATGAGAACCCTGCTAAATGCAACAAACTGCAACAATGGATTCTGTTGCATTGTGCAGTGAACCCAGTGCATACCGGCCTTGGCACCAAGCAGTTACCCTGCTAAATGCAACAAAATGCAACAGTGGAGTCTGTTGTATCGCCTTGGCACTTTGAGCAGTTACCATTCTAAATGCAACAAGATGCAACAAAGCAGAATGACTTGAGTTGGCTGCTAAAAGTAACAGTATGCAACAACTTTTTACTTTTGTTGTTTTCTGTTGCATTAAGCATGGTTAGGGTTATGATATGCAAGGCAATGGTAGACAGGGAGGTGCCTGACCTCAGTAGGCCGGTCCCGAATAGTCGACTAGACTAGTCCAGCTGTGGTTGACTAGTGTGGGTTCAGTTGAAGATATTCCCAACCATGGTAAACCATGGTTCTTGCTTGAACTTGCTCTAAATTGTGTCCCACATATCGTTGCGTCAGTGCAACGAGGTTGTAACTTCATTCTGCAACAAAGTCGTATCTCGCGTGAGTACATGTACGCTCCGTGCAACAAGGCCGAATCTCGACGCCCATTGACTTTGTGTGTACATCCGGGTTATTTTAAGTGAGATACAACCTTTTGACATTCTGAAACTCACGTTTCAGGTACGGCCCATTTTAGGAGATTCGACCTTGTTGCAAGGACACGACGATATGTGAAATAAAGTGATATATATGACAGTTCTCTGAAAGAGTCCTTCATGTAAAAACCCGAAACACTGTTCTTCCTTTCACAATCCTCCTTTTTGGAAAACGGTGCTTTTCCCCTGTTAGGAACAAGCTAACATGTTCTCAGCATTTTCTCACTTGCAGTGGGATAGTTCCCAACTAAGCTGTTCTCCAGCAAGAAAAGTTTGCTGGTGGTTTTCCCAGAAGAACGTTCCAAGTTTCGAAAATGTTGATACATTTCCAAATTGTCATGAATAGTTCAACGAACAAACCATGACAACATGAAAAACCAGTGTTAAAAAAACAATTAAGTTCTCGAGAACAATTTCCACACAGATTTGTTTTTAATGAATAATTGTCCCTGTTAAAACCACACACAGATTGTCAGAGAGAATATATACGGCAAGTGTTACTGAATAAGACTATTTTTTATGTACATACATGTATATTTTCCTTTATTATAAAAAAGAAAAAAGAAAAAAAAACAAGTGTCTTTTTTTTTTTAATGCAAGTACGTATGTGCGGACATTGAAAATGGCCACGTTATTAAGGTTACCACGTCTTGTCGGCTTTCTGGTTTTTGTTTTATATTTAGAATTTAGTGTAAATCGTGTATAAAAGATATGGTGGATTAAGGGGGCGTAGTTGTTTATTATTGTTTCAGTTGACTAAAAGGGCTTACAAACATGTTAATTGGCGTTCTGAACAAAAAAAGATCAACAATACATGTACGTTATATTTCTTAATTCTCAAACTTCTTTGTAACGGTGAACAGGACTCTGTCATGTGATGTCAATGACGCAAATCAGCAAGTAATAACAGAGTTTTTCTGCCACAATAATCAATGCATAACTCAAATTTTCCCGTAACAGTTAATCACGTTTCTTTTGTAATTACAAGGCTGTAGTGCAATTCGCCGAGCAAACTCGGAAGCCATTTTTGCACGCATGCTGCACCCGCACGCGATCTCAAAGATGAGGCGCGCGTATTTAGGTAACTGGATTGGTCGAAGGAGCCCGGAGTGCGTGCGTCCTACCTGAGCGCGACTCACGCAAGCCTGGTGTCGCCGCAGAATATGGCTGCCGCCGAATTAGTCTATACCATTCATAATGAGAAACTGAAGAAGAAAAAAATACTAGCCCAGCAATGCATATGGATATGAAATGCTGCCTTTTTAAGAGAAATTGAAATATTTGGGGATTTTCAAACCACAAAGTATTTGTTTTCATTTTGCAAGTGGGTGTTCATCACATGTACATGCACATGATGTGTGTACCGCACACGTTTTGTTTGTTTGTTTGTTTTATGAATTTGAAACCGATTACAATCCACTGTCATCTAAACTGCAAAATTTTGCTCAGGGAAGGAAAATTTGAGTTGCATTTTCAATATTGACCCCCCAAATTGAGCAAAATTTGTCTGGTCGTACAGGTACATGTATGATGTGTAATGACCTGCCATTCAGCACGTTCAAAAATACCATTTTCATAATCTCTGTTAAAACCAGGGCCTAATTTGATTGAGGTACTACTGACTGTACACAATTTGTTGGGTAAACACTTAAAATAAAAAATGAATTAATTTGCAAGTTTTCCTTTGGACTTTAGATGGGCTTTCAATACTTCGGCCATTTTGTTGTCTGTGGGTCATGAAGATAAAAGGACACAATGGGTTTTTAATTTAAGCAAATAGTTCAACTTAAAAAGCCATGTACCGTACAAAATATTGTTTAGTATTAAAGGAGCTCTTAGTAAAAGTGCAGATGGGTCATTCGGAAAATTTGGGGTCCACTTTTTCCTGTCCCTGATATCTGAATTTGTCATTCTGGATGCAATCCTTAAAGGTAGGGTACCGGTAGATCATTTGTCATTGTGCATTTTTTTTTATTTGAAAATAAACTTGCTCAAGTACAGACGGGTGCTTAATAACTAACCTGATGAAGTTTTAGCTCTGTGGATGCAGTATCTTCGGAGTAAACAATATTCTAGGATCTCGTTTCCAATTCAAAATTTATCTAGTCATGTTTTGAATTGTGCCTGAAATCCGCATCCAGGACACGTTGGCATTCAGCCCATTGCAGCTATGCGCTGTCATGTGCTGAACGTCGTGTCGCGTCGTGTCGACGCTTGCGCGCGCCCTTTACTATCGTTAAACCAAGTAAGCTTTTCATCAATAATTTCGTCACTTACTTTTTGGATAGCTGCAAATGATATACTCTACCTTTCAACGCATTCTTCCTCCAAGAGTGATTATGTGAAGCGAATGACCTACCCAACAAATACAAATTACTTTCAAGTCATTTTTGATGATACTTGAATGGCAAATTACAAAGTTCAGAGGTCACAGGGACAGGGAAAAGTGTCACACTCTAGAACCTTAACATTACAGAATGACCCTCATTAAAATTATATCATATGCCCAATCTTCCCGAAGCTTAAAAATCCAACTTGGTTTCTTGCAGGATATCCTGTTGGACAGTGCTCTTGCCATCAACAGGATGGCAAGAAATGGGTGTCCATAAATTTCATGGCATGATTAAAATGCAAAAAAAATAGAGTTCCTGTTTTATTTTCATTGTATATATTTTTAAATCACTGTACATGTACGCACTTCCGTAGCCTGGATGTACACGCAACGCATATGTGCATGATCCGTTCCGTAACCATTCAGGAAGGATATTTGTTTTTCTTCGTGTTTTGTTTGTGCAACTTTTTATACAATCATTGTGGATTCTTAGACATCAAGTCCAGGATAACGATACTTCTGTAGGTTTTAAGTTTTTCTCCGGCATGTAGATTTGTAGCGTATACCAGTTCAGTACTAGTGTTATTGGGATTAGAGTATTATAAAATGGATTCGGAAAGATGCAAGGGCTAGCAAGGTGTACAGATTTATTAAAATATTGTATATTAAGTTTTATTGTCAAGCAGAGTTGAACCCAAGTTGATCTGGTGAATAATAAACACAGAAACAGAAGCGTGACACGTGTCAGCACTATCTGGTCGCTACCGACACAGGCACCCATTTATGCTCTTAGGGAGATGGAGAGAGGCAATTGCAGTAAGGTGTCTTGCCCAAGAACACAAGCACTATGTATCCAGTCAGCGTTTGAACCCATCACACATGATTTAGAAACCACAACGACAATTGGTATTTTCTTTTAATTTCTTGAGAAGCATGTTGGAAAACACTGAGCATACAATGCACTGTGTTGGTTAATTGGCAAAAACCACCAAAAAAACCCCTGCCTTCCCCATTTTGATAATGCAATCAACAGTGATGCCACTTTTCAGGTTTTAACCTGAATTCAGGGTTTTTTTTTTTTTTCTTCAAAAAATGTGACAAATTAAAAGTGCTGGATTTGGTCTGAAACTTCCAGAAAACACATTTTTGAAAGGGGGTTACAAGGGTACATGTAGTTTCAGTTTTTTTAGTAGTGTTTCAGGCTTTTTATTGATATATTGGTGGCATCTCTGAATCAAAAGCCACTAGTTATTGAGTTCCATACCTGTTATGTGTACACTGTGCTTTAATACTGAAAGTCTGTAATTTCAGTCACAATTGGCACCCTTGCACAAAACGGCCTACATGTTGCAAAGTAATATCGCGGATATCCTATCAACCTACCACAAGTTATTTCCTACCATACATTTGTGTGTGTACCGAGGTCAAGGCGACACAATATGTCCCTGACAATGTACATTGTACATTGTACATTTTACTGTTAACAGTGCTATTGGGTACAGTACTGTTCCTCTGTACAATAACCATGGAGCGTATTACAAAGCACATCTTTGCGTTAGGTGAAATATTGGGTGAAATATGCCAATTTGAAGAGTGAGTCGGCAAACTTTTTAGAAATTGGAGTCTTTTT